GAAAGTAGCCCGCCTCCTCCATGATCTCACTTGTTTGGATTGAAATGATAGATATACAGTAAAAACAAGTGAGGACAATCGTCTGTGGTGTAGCAGTTGGTCCGTTTGCCGTCGTACGCAGTAGACATAAGTTTGATTTTCGTATCTGGATGTAATTTTAATAGAAAAGCGATGTACACTTGGACCTAATATCCCTCTCAGCACGTTTTGGTCCTGACTGGCACGACTGAAGTAACCCAACCTCAGATTAAGTTAATTGTGTTAGTAATACATTCTGTAAATGGGAGAGTAAAACATCTACAATTGCATTTGTTACATTACAAGGCGCCATATTGTACCTGAAGTTCTGTTATTAATCATTTCATGGGATATTTTCCTGAACATCTTTCCAAATTAGGCGTAATGTTGGTGGGGGCAAGAATAGAAGAAATACCGCACACGGTGAGTGTGTATGGAGATGGCGGTGGGGATAGGGGTGGTGGGCACTTAGACCTTCTTTGGTGTCATAAATGTGTTTTGTTTCCAGTGACAAGGACCGTTATTTCAGAATAAAGGAAAAAAGATCATTCCAGAAATCCAGACACTGTTTTCCGAGAGCGTGATAAGAATTGACCTGTTACTCTTGACTATTTGAGGAGACCATCAAGCGCCCATTTCTGAAGTCGGGCGCAATCATTACTGTTAAGTGATGTATGACCACCCCAGTCCCAAGTCGCTTGGCGATTACGGGTAGACAGACCCCCCATCCCCTCCCCCACTCCCATGGACCACACCATACTAGCGAGAGTCATTTCCAGAGTAACTGACGTGGAAATTGGACGGGCCTCGTGTTTTTTCATCACACTCTAATACGGCAGTTCCTGGACCATTTCCGTCAGCAGAAGTAAAAGACGGACAGAATACTCTCCCTTGCACGAACCAAGTTCCTCGAGGTACTTGAAAATGTTTTGCCGGTACACTTGAGTCGGAGATGTGAAACAACACACGTGTGTCTGTGTAATATACTTACTTAGAAATAAACAGCCGGCGCAGAACACGTTTAAATGATTATTTACAAACCAAGGCCTTTAAAAAAAAGCATTTTCCTTCTTACGACTGTCCATTTAATGCTACTATCGTGGAAATACCATTGACAAAAATAATACTTTCCAAAAGTTCAGTAAACGCAACGAAAAATCAACAATCAGCTACATACACATCTAGAAATAGCTCCTATGGCATTACAATCGTTAAATTAAATCCATTGTAGACTATTATTTAACCCCTCCACGCACTACAGACGGACACAGTTTGGGGGAAAAAGTCTTCATAATGATTTTTTTAAATTTATGCTTTTGAGGGAAGCTGTCGAGTACATTTTTTTCGATACTCTTGTAACGTAAGTATCATTTTGAGGTCAGATCGGATCACTAAAATGTACCGAGAAATTGTATCGAGCACACAAACGCGATGAGAATAGTCCCCCTTGCACGCAGACGAGCTCCCGGAGGCAGGGAAGCTTATCCCCCCTTCATCACTCTCTCACTTAGCCAGGAATGGTGCCGAGGCCTGGCGTATTTGACACCCTTGACTCCATTTCAGTTTGCACTGACGTACATAATGAACTCACTTAACGGAATCTTAAAATCAATATCGATCGGGCGATAAGGCTACAGCGTCCCTATCTGTTGAAGTAATTTGCTCCAAAATTTGACCTATTTTTCAAATCGAAAAACATTAGAACCACTCATGTCTAGAAAGTGATAGAGAAAGTGAATAAACAAGTCTCTTTTATCCCCTTCCAGAAAATTGATCCACAATTTCTTTTTTATAATTTCAATTTCGAATGATGTCACCAGAATTCCTAAAAACAAACTAAAAAAGAAATATTCTTGTCTTGAACATAATTTTAAACTTTCTATAACTACGTCGTGCCGTGTCTACTACTGTCTACCACGTGTCATTCTCCTTTGTAGAACCAGAGCCTGGCCCAACATAAAGAGTATTTTGTTATCTTTCAAATTAATCAGCTAGAGACCACTCAAGCCTTTTCTAATCAGAATTCTTCACTAACATATTAATATCAAGCAAAATAAAGTTTATCCTCATCCCTAGAATATTCAGATTGAGAAGACACTTCATCAATAATGTTTTGAATATCCACTTCACGGCGTCGTTGTTGTTTTACTTTGTCGGGAGTATCTGGTTCCCTCGCATTTACACAATTACAACACGAGTAAAGACTACTCGATTTTTATATAGTAGAGGGTTTTACGGCGCTCGCAACTGCATAAGGTCATACTACTCGATTAAATTTCAATTGCATGTTTTACGCATCCATTAAAATAATTCGAATTAACATATTATTTGAGAGATGCTTAGACACTGTCTGTCTGGGCAAGCACAATCTGCGTTGCATAAAACACAGCAGAGAAAGAGACATAGAGATACGGACAGATAAGATATAGATATTTAGCTCTTGTAGCGGCGGGAAATATGATAAATGAGACAAGCTTGACGAATCTCAAGTAAGAAAGTAACGAAAAAGTTATGAATAGTATCTATAAATAGATAAATAGATAGGTGAAAAAAGATAATAGAACGTGTAAAAAAAGGAAAAGAAATTCATAAACAAATGAATTGTAACCACCAGTCTCCACTTCCCCAAGAGCTGTTCCCTTCTACAACCCTCCGACCACCATATGCGCTACCACATTATTCAAGTGATTTTTCGGGGGGACCGCTCCCTCAAGTCCATTTTGGGGAGTTCCTAATCCGGCCCAGTGAACTCCCTTACTTCCGATACAAGGAAATCCCTCTGAGGGTTATGTCCGGCAAACTGATTGGTCAATGATGTCAACCTCCTCTTCGCTCCCAGAATCTCTATTTTGCCCAATTTCCATAGAGGCCTGGGGGGGGGGGGTGCAGATTTCATACAAACTATTACATTCAGAGATGTAGTTTTTTTCGTTCACAATTACTATTCTTACAAATCAATAGATTGAAATTAAGATCTCACGTTAAGCTGAGTAGATGTAACATGTTGTTTAGTAATAAAAGAACCCAAATAGCTGGTATAGAAAGCCGGGACTCTTTGTTCAGGTTCTTTTTTGATAGATTCTTGCACATGCGAGCAAGTTGTGATTGTTTCTCCTTTGGTTTCACAAGGCGCATTGAAACTAATTGTGTTCAGTGGTATGTATTTCCAAATTACCAAACACATCCTATTAGTTAGTAACCATGGCTTTTTGCAAAGACTCTACGTGTGTATGTTTGATTCCTTATTTATTTGCTGTTCACAACAGATTCCAGCCACATGAATGTTGAGCTGACTAAAACGTTAAATGATGAAGCGTACACAAATAAAAACTTTTTTTGAACCAACGGTCTGTATTTCTTCTCAGTTTTGCACACAAGGAAGGAATAAACTGCCTCCTTAAACATGAGACTGACTGATGGATCGCGAATGTTTTTAGAGAAGTACAACATCCCGGCAGACAGACCCAAGTGCTTTTTAAAATAACTTCCCACGCCGCACGCCGATATCGATCTCAAGTTTTTGCTCGTGCAACGGCGAAGAGCTTAACCATTACACCACAGATGGTGATATTTCAGATATGGGACTGGGAAAACTTTCAGTAAAATATATACAACGGTTCACAAAAATATTGGCTTCATTGTGAACTCGTTTGGTTTGGTTTTGTTCTGTATTTCTTATTTGATTTTTCTTTCTTTGAGACAAGTAGTATAAAGGGCATTTTGATAAACTAGACAAGGATTTCCCACTAATTCGCAATTGTTAAATCAAGTAGGATTAATGACGAGACAATTGAAGCCCCTTATCTCAGAAGGCCTTTTGATGGCGTAGAGGGAGATGGAGAATGACGACGACAGAGTGGTATAAAAACAAAAGCAAGGCCACAGACAGGAATGGATATAGACAGAGGGAGACAAAGGAGGGGAAAATGATGTCATGATAAATTGAGCTGTTGATTTCGTTATGTGGAAAATGGATTGAATAATATTCAGAGACAAACGTACAGGCTGTCTCCCTCGGACTGAGAATGAATCACTGGGAGATATAGATAGATAGATAGATAGAAAGAGAGAGAGAGAGAGAGAGAGAGAGAGAGAGAGAGAGAGAGAGAGAGACTGGAGTTCGGGAAGATAGACATATGGATAGATGGGATATAGATACTTAGATAGATTTATTGATATCTTATATTATTGCTGGGAAACATGCATAGACATTATGGAGATAACGATACATTCACATATTCAGAAAATTGTAGACGTAATTACCTATACAACGGTCCAGCAGGTTTATCATAAAATTCAAAATCTTCGGAGGCTTTAGAAGGATCAGTCTATTACATAATACTTCCACTATTTGGAGGACATATGATGTAGGCCTTATGGCTGTTTATTTACAAAGGATAAATAGATAGATAGATAGACAGATAGATAGATGGATAGATAGATAGATAGATAGACAGATAGATAGATAGATAGATAGATAGATAGATAGATAGATAGATAGATAGATAGACAGACAGATAGACCTTCAAAGCCAAATCAAGACTTGTTTGCTAAATTACTCCGATTGAGATCAGAGAAAGAATGGGGAAACGTGAGATACGACATATGGATAGAGAGAGAGAGAGGGAGAGACAGAGAGGGAAAAAAGATGACCAGCGACAGAGACAGAAATAGACTTGACCGAAAATAGAAACAAGGACAGGACAGGGGAAAGAGAGAGAGAGAGAGAGAGAGAGAGAGAGAGAGAGAGAGAGAGAGAGAGAGAGAGAGAGGGGGGGGGGATGAATTCTGTAGTGGACGTTAGGGAAATGGAGTGGGAGCTAACCAACGGGGAATGTTCTTAGTGCACATCTCTATAAACATAGATCTACATTGACAGGTCGGGGCTGCTCGAAATATTCTGAGTTCGCCTGGAATTATCAGAATCGACACTATGAGGTCATAAGATCAATTAAATAAATAGAAATACAAAGGGCACATACCTCAGTTCAGACACTGGTCTCTTTTATTTCTTTATCAACACTGATGAGAAAACAATTAACCATTAATTGTTGGTGAGGTTTTTAATTGTTGTTGTTTTTTCATAATTTTACATAAGAACAATGAAAAATCCTGTCAGAGCAAAAGGATTATAAATCGCATATATTGTTCCCACGTTTACCCTGGGGGAAAGCTACTGACTGCGGTAGAAATGTACTTTATATAGCAATTTAGAACAAAAGGAAAACAAAAACAAAAACAAAATAATTAACGATTCTAGGAAGTCCCCAGAAAAACCGTACTTCACTGCCATTTAAATTGTGGGCAGTTAGCTCTGTTGGTATTGTGCTCAGCTACAGACCGAGGAATTTAGTTTTAATCTCCGTTAGGCTGTTCTTGAACTTGATTCGTTTAAGGAGTTTCAAGACTTTCCACGTTCCTGGCATTGTTCCTACTAGAAATATATATTAAGTTCAAAGGTCTCGACTCGGAAATAATCGTACTATCTTTGAAAGTCCATAAAATTAGTGCGGTACTCTATTACGAATGTACCAGCATCTGGACAATAAAGATATAAAATCTTACCTTTGTCTTAACTTTTACATCATAAACTATGTTTCATACAGGAATACAGCACATGCTTATGTATCGTACTCCATCGAAAATATTAAAACAAAAGGAACAGTGTGTGTGTGTGCGTGAGGGGGGATGCATCCATCTAAATATTGCCAACATAAAAATAGTCTTTTGAAAAAAAAAATCACACCAAATCAGACCAGAGTATTGAGTATACAAACACCTGTGATCGTGGGTACACCCTCTTAAGCACACTCAAACAT